TGAACAAACATCCAAAATCTAATTTAGTTTAAGAAACCAACTCGCTTTTACAGAAACGGTTCGGGTAAACGTGCGACGCCGAAAAAACGTAATTTTTTGAAAATCCGGTCCCCATTAATTTAAATCCCATTTTTCATTGAACTTTGAGTAGTATAATTTTCCGTCAGCAAATGCAGCTATTTCAATTAGGTATTGGCGGACTGGTTGAATTACGAGCCACATAAAATTCAATACGGAAACCAGTGCTATAATAAGGTTAATATGTAAAATTCGCAAAATCAGATCTAGCAAATCATCTATTTACATTTTGTGACCCAAGGCCACAAACTATTAATGTTCAAAATATTTTCGTTTTATAAAGAATATACTTAATTAATACTGTGAAACTTATTCCCTAATTAGTAACGTTTGTAACATTCTGTGTATGGGAGTTATGATATAATTTATTGCACGGGCAATCCTATACCTAATATGTATTAGTACAGTCGGAAAGGGCTCAAACTGAGAATTATTTTGTATAGTGATTTCAATTGTATTTAAGTATTTTTTTACTCTTTTACTGGGTATTTCGTCTCAAAAAGTTGTGTCTTGAAAGACAGAATTTTCTCATGTATTTTATAAGAAACATATACATTTAAGATAATTAATTTTATAATACAATAATACATCATAATTAATTTAGAAGTTACCTTGACGTTTCGATAGAAATTCTGCTATCTTTATGAAAATATACCTACCTAGAAAGGAATATATGTTAATTAATTGTTAAATAAGGATAATTCAATACTAATCTGGGAAAGTTGTCTTTGTTGTTGTCAAAGTTGGTTGGTTGAGTATTTCACTTTTTACTCTATTTAAGTAATAGTTTAATTATGAAACCCTACAGTTAAATAAGTCTATGAAAATAAAAAAATGGCTAATTTATGATGTTTTTGTTTCGTTTGTCAAGTTCTTTTAAGACTAAAGTGAAAACCAATAGGGATATTTTAAAGGAAAATAAAAAAGGTTCAAATTCCGTGAGCTCTGATTGATCTACTTGTCTAGATATAATTATAATTAATTTTAGATGGAAACTTGATATTGTGTGGTCCCTTGCGCCATCCATTGGTTCAGTTTAACATTGTATTAATGAGCTGATCGCAAGCTACACGCTTTGCATCTACACGGGCGCTGCCCTCTAGCGATAACGCTTTTTTCCTCGTCTGAGATTGGTATTTACGTGATTAGACAATTTTGTCAATACTATTTATATTAGATTATAAATCCAGTCAGCTATGGGTGGATGAAATAATGTATCATTTAGTTCCCAAGTATAATTTAAAAAAAGTCACAACATCGAGATTTCATGCGCTTATGCTTATACCGAAAAGTTAACGGTTTCCAATAGGTTTCGAGGTCGAATTAGAATTTTTCCGGACCAAAAATTTGGAAAAACTTGATAGGACAAAGAAAAACTAGAAAGTGCAGGCGCCGTGGCTTAGTTGGTTAAAGCGCCTGTCTAGTAAACAGGAGATCGAGGGTTCGAATCCCTCCGGAGCCTTGCAAAATCCCGTGGAGCACTTTTTTGGTTGCGTGCCGTACAGCTTTTTAAGGGAACTTATCAGTCCAAATTCCATATTAAGAATTGAACTTATTTGTACTTAAACTATCGATTATTGATCGCATTCGCTGGCGAAAAGTTTTCCATCAAAAGCAAATCGACAAGGATGGACCTTTTGTATATGTAGAAAAAGGTTAAAAAAAACTGATCTGGAAAGGAACTTTTCTATGTTATTTATTTATGCTCCATAATCTGTGGACATTCCCATTTGAATTGTGGTTTTTTCAATAACCCAGAACATCGCCAAACATACGGAAATTGTTTCCCCGATGTAACAACCGACATTTCGGTTATGCCGTTTTTTAAATTTTAATTAAATCTGATCAAGTCTCATTAACAGTTTTTTAATTAACATTGATTTAAAATAAAATTTTGAAATTTTACACGTTTTTCAATACAGACCTTCTACGTTGAAAATGCAAATAACGATTCCTTACAGGGGGCAATAAATTAATGTATCGCCAGGAAATATTCTAAAGAATATTTGCTGCAGATGTGTTTTAGGAAAAGAAGGCGTTTTTTATTAAGAAAAATAAATTATGGGCAAAAAATAATTTATTAAAATTATGAACTTACAAATAAGCTAGTTTTCTAGCTTTACAAATAAGCTAAATCGTTGTCGATTTTAAGCGCGTAGTTTCTGGAAATCCGGAAACTACGGAGGATCCACCCTTTGCGAACCCAATTGTGGATCTACTAGACCTGGGTAACTCAGTCAATTTTTAGGAATTGGCATAGTGCTGTACGCTTGGTGCGCCAACCCATTGCGCCGGCGCAGTAACTCAGATCCGTTGCTGTTGCCCTTTGTTGCCCTTCTTTATTAAGTAAATTCGTTCTTCCATTACAATCGTAACGCTATCAGCCAAAAAGTTGATAGCGTGTTGTTTTGTTAGGTAGCTGGACCTAACTACAGTCCGGCGTTCTTCTGCATATAAAATTCACTAATAAAGAACATTTTACTGCATCTTTGACATGTTTTTTGCTCCCCTTTTTACCCCAAGTGCCTGCTGGATTTTATGCACTAGACACTGCGCGCTTCTTTCCGGGATTTAAGACGAGTGATTTTTAAATTAACATTCACAATGTTTATTCAGTGGCTTAATGGCTTTTGCAGTACAGATGCAGCAGCAGCAAAAAGTTGAAAACACTTTGTCATTTGAGATGACAGTTGGGCGCCCTCTATAAGTACGACTAAGTATCGAAAGCAGCGTAGTGAATACGTCGAACTAAAATCGAATGAAGCGCGCTCTATAGTGAATAAGTCGAA